AGCACCATACTATCCTTTTGAGAGAGATTTTACCCACCGAACCATTTAAATACAAACCTTGAATCCAACAGCGTATTAATTTGTGGAATAGTATTGTTGACCATTTAAATGATGTAAAGAATCCAGCCCTCTCCGGCACCTAAAGAGCCGTCAAACATAACTTCAATCTCTTGAAAGAGAAATTTATCTCTAAAAAGAAAGAGCAGGATAAAGCCAGTGGCATCGATGTAGAAGTGACCGACATTGACGTGCCTCTTGCAGAAATCATCGTTCAAGAGAAGTATTATGAGTTAGAACGTAAGGACAAAGATGAAGGGCAGGAAAGAAAAATTGAAAAGAGCAAGGCAACTGGGGCTGGTATGAGACAAAAAGCAATGGAAAGCCTGGGAGAAGGTCTAAACGAAATCAATCGGATTGAGAAGACAGTGTAGGTAATGAAAGACTCAGAACTAAAAAAAAATCAAAATGTTCAGCGGCAATCTAATATCTACAGGCCAAAAGTGAGCAAGAGCTTGATTTAAAATGAAGGCAGCTGGAAATTCAAGAGAAAAAGCAAAGCCTAACTGAACGCCAAGACCACGATTTCATGTTGTTAATGCAAAATATGCAAGCAAGCACCATGACACTTACAGAGTCAGTAGTACAACAAATAAACAAAAAGTAAGCACTGACAGTTGTTTATTTTGAGCCATCTACTTGTAATTTGTCTCTTGCCTAGGCAAATGTTTATAGTCCAGTAGATGAATTTTTGAAAATCATGTTCAGATTTTGACAGTTGATATAATGTAGATCTTGATGAGCATATCGCAAGATTTTTACAATACTTAGTGGCTTCTGTTGTTTATTGCATTAAGATTTAATCAGATGCTCTTTTGTGAAACAAACTATGAATCATTCGTGCATTGTCATTGATTATTAATAGTGAGTCCATGGGTGCACCAGGCAGGCATGCTACATGCCATCCCTCCGATTTTGCTGAAACTTGGCCAGTTTAAAGGGTCTACCCCAAAACTCAAAATGACAAACTGGTTTGTAGTTTGGATCTTTATGGTGGGAGATAGCCCACCCAACTGGTTTAATTACATTTTTTACCAATAAAAGGGCATTAATAACAGGCAAAAGTAGGAAGCTCTCAGGACAACTGTTTTTAACCTTTGACCATGAGGGGTTGTGTATATGTTGATACATCTTTAATAAATGCAAGAATATAAGTTTCAGTCAATTTGATTGACAGCTTGTCAATCACCGGCCTTGAATATGGCAGCACCTTTTTAGCCATTCAATTATTTGCTGATTTTGAGATCGAATATCTCTCCTTGTCAGAAAGCTATGACAATAATTTTGTTATTCCCTGCTTAACAACCCTTTGGTCTATAATAGACACAAAAAAAATTTCTGGGCTCTGCCTTTTTTGGCGCCAGATGCCAATTGAAAACTACACCTAAAACAAACTTATTTCCACTTCACCTTTCCTATAATTCAACAGTTAATGGCTGCTTAATTTAATAAACCGACACTTTCTAGCCCATCGACAAGAATTGTAATAGAGGAGTTTAATACATGCTTAAAACGATCAAGATTTGGCGAGAAAATTAAAGATTTCACACTGATTAGTAATGCATGTCACCAAAATATCAAAGGCTAAATCGTAATCTTTGTTTGCTCGTTTAGATGTTCTTGCAAAATCAGAGATTATTCTTCTTAAGAGTTAAACTATATACAAGTCGTCTTATTCAAGTGTTTATTGTCTATTGACCTTAGTGTGAGAAAACCAGGCTGTTGTTAATTTCCTAGGGGAGATTTCAAGGCCACATGGCGGCGGTTGTTGACAAACTTTGAGTCACGCCAGTACACGCTAGTCATAAAGCAATGTAGTCACGCCAGTACACGTCAGTCATAAAGCAATGTCCACTCGCACATCTAAAAACAACATTAAATGATGAGAAATTCTTCCTTCTAGCGGTAAAGAAATTAAGGTCTTAAAAAATTCGTTTAACTTCTGACTACGACCTCGGAAAAAAACAGTATTAGAAAGAAGTATCGTGTTATTTCACTTACCGACGTGGATGTATGCTGCGTGACCAGACAATATTTGTTCAAAATCAACTTCTTTGCCTTCAAGCAAGGCTTTCTGCTTGGCCTACGTATCTCTATCACTATATTTGTCTCTTCCTATCGGCATTTTTCAGTGGCAAATACAAGTCGTTCGAAACTCTGTCACTAGATCACTCTCAATCAATATTACACCCAAGTATTATGTGACCGAAAAAGAGCCCGCAATGTTTTGTTCAGCGAATTTCCCACACCTACCCCGGAATCTAAACAATTTCGGTTGTCTAGACTAGAAGAAAAATGAATTTTAAAAAACAAAACATACCAAAAAAAATTAAATTGCCTTAAATCGTTTATGAATTAAATATCTTTTGATGGCGAAGTCCACACATTTTCACCTGCAAAACAAGTTGTTGTTGCTTTTGAAAGATAACCGAATTATCTTTTCTATTAGTGAATAACCTGAGTACTGTTTTGTAATCGGTATGATTCTGTGACTCTATACAAAACTATAATGTAAATTACTTAAATTCATTTAAAGAAATTTTATTCTTTTGCAAAATTAAGCTTTATTGTACAGGATTGTACCGGCCAAGGTACAATTGTACCTTAAATTCCAGACAAGACCAGACAGAATCCCCACGACAGAATCATGACCTTGACAGATTGTGCAATCAGCAAAATTGTAACAGCACGTGCCTGTCAAATTTCAGACCATTCAATTTATTTGACTTATCATCCAAGGAGCGTTCTTTTCAATCACGCCTTTGTGCTGTTAAGATGCAATATGTCTCAGCTTTCCTGTTTATTTGCTATCTTCTATGTAACGGAATGCGATTTCTCTTCACGATGGCCCGGACGGCAACAACTTCACTGAATTCGTGTGCCGATGGCATAAAGGAACATCTTTGAGATGTAAATGTATCTCAATTGTGCGTTGTCTCTGAGAAAAAGCTCATTTTAGCTCGCGTTGGCTTGTTCGATGATGACGGCCACGATTTCACGATCTGTCCCAAACATTGCGCAGTCCTTGGAGTAAGATTCCGACCATCAAAAAAATGCCAGCATCTTCTTCACGGCAATTGAAAGGGCAAAGGTGACAGAGGAGTCAATCTGAAGACGGCAAAAGAAATCAAGGAAAAGTGGAACACTGTAGTTCCAGTCAGTGCAGGTAAGATTTTATTTTGCATAGGGTGTTGATACTGACTTGCTTACTTCCTATACTTGCGGCAACTGATATCAAAGGCCGAGAGACAAACAAACTCATTTGGACCGTGTGACCCAAAAGGCATAGATCACGCGTGGAAGGGGAGGATAGGAAAGGAAAGGCCTTCCCACGAGGCTTTGGGCAACGTGGGTTAGTCAGATCCGTCCCCAGTCGTCTCTAGCATTGGCGCGCATGGTTTGATGGGTATGATGTGTGTTACCAAGTCGACTGGGTTGGGCACGAGTTAGACCGAGACAACTTCGAAGGTGCTAAGCAACCAACCAAGCTAAGATTGTTCCTTCAGCTGTTTTTTTTACTTACATGCCGTTAATTTACTATCCATTTTGGAAATTTTGCTATAAGACTTTTAAAAGTGTCAGAAATGAAATTCGTGTCGTCGCAGGCGCCAATAGCTTACTCATCAGTAACGCGGCGCATAGGTGTGATAATCATTCTAGTAACTCGCGGACGAATTTAATTAATTTTTCCTAAATTAAGTAGCCGGGATAACGGGGGTAGCGAGGGGAAAGGAGTTGGCAGTTTATTAATGGGGCACGTCCAACATATTTTTTATTCAAAAAACCCACCGAGTATACTATAAAATGAAGACTTTATATCTAAAATAATTCCTACTTACTAGGCATATGCAGATACTGTAGAGGTGCCCACTCCGACTTTAGGAAAGAGTGTGAGCCACCCTCTGTGTTGGCTTCCTTAACTGAGGGATCCCGAATTTCTGCTACGCAAGAGGAGGAGTTTATGGGTCACACTCCAGCGCCATCAACAGAGCACATTGCAACAGAGTCAACTGAGACAGAAGAAGAGGAATGTGTTACCATGTTTGCGAGTGCGATTTCAAGATGAGATTTTGAGGGAGGTAGGATTGATGTGCCTCTTAAATATGTTTGAATTAATAAATTTTAAAACCCCAAAAAAGAATTCATAATATATTTAATAATGAGGTTATCATATTTTGTCTACTTAATTTTTTACCTAATTCAACTGCGTGGTTTATATGTTCATGTGAACGAGTAATTATAACGGGGTCGTTTCACTCACTCGCGGTTGCATCTTTTGTGGATATTGTAGTAAATAATTACAGAAATGGTGGGCGACGAAAGGGGTAACATTATTTCCCGTTCCCTACCCTGTGCTGGTTCTCGTCACTCCCTCGTTCTTCATGCTCGTCTCCTAGCAGCACAGCCTGCAGTTAACGTCCATGCTCCACATAACTGTACTTAGCCTCGTAAAGCCTATGGAAGAGGCAGAAGCAATTCTGACACGGGATAACATGTATTTGTAATCATTTAGGCGCACATTCAATGCATAGGTTCCTACCTCGCTAAAAAAAACTGTTCCTTTTATTATAGCAAAGTGATCCGAATTCAGATATCTTCTCATCATCCTCCCAAGGCTCGTTGGTAGAGGAAGAGACGTCTAGAGAGTGGCAACCAACACCCCAAGTACAGCATCAGTTGCAGCACCTCAACAGTTATCTCCTTAAGTCAACTGATGGCCGAATCAGTCCAGTCAGGTTGCAATGCAGGTCTGATCTTGTGACTATGTCGTCATCAACGCGGCACTATTATAGGAAAAAGGCAGAGCAAGTTGTTGATTCGTGTTGGAGGCTATTGCGCGGGGTAATTTATCATGGCTGCTTCAACAGGTGATCGCAAGGAGCCAAAGCGGGCGTACGGTATCTGGTGCTGCCGAAGAAGACAGCCTGGTCTCTAGACTAGTAATGCTGTCTAATGAAGCTAGATCCTGGAACACCCAGCAACAGATTCTCTCCCTCTTTGCTGGTGATTACAGCAAGACAGAACTGTTGCAGCTTGTGCCAGGACTGACAAAGTTTAGGATTGATGAGGCCAGAAAACATGCTTTTCAGACCAAGCCTGGAGAGCCTATAGAGCCGCCAACCATTACCAGAACCAGGCTGGATCCCATTAAAGTCGACCATTTCCTAGATTTTGTATCCAGTCCTTCATTTCTTCAAGACGTTGCATATGGAACGAAAACTCTAAAGCTGTCAAGCGGAGAGAAAATTGACATACCAAACGTGGTGAGAACAGTCATTTCATCCCATCTCATCCAGCTGTATCAAGCCTATTGTACCGAATCCAGCTTCACACCCCTTGGAAGATCAACACTTTATATCCTTAAGGTATAGATGGATATAAGGCCATGTGTTAGACAACAATTTTGGTTTTAATACACGCAAGTTATTCCGTACTGTCTGAAGCTCAGTGTGTGAGAAACTGTGTGTGTATGTGTGAGTGGAGAAGGCCAGCATAAGCTGCAGATTTTGCTGAATATGACAAAAGGATTTTTACCCTTTTATTTAAGCAGTACATAATTGACTACAATATAGTTTTATACTTCAGGTTGCACTGCTTCTCAGAAGAAGTCCTTGGCAGGTTTGGACAGCATGCAAACGGATGGTGTAACTGCAAGTAGTAACTAGTATACTACAGAAAAACGGTAAGACGGAAAATTAGGTGAAGTCTAGCCTTTTGCCTGAATTCCTTGAATATGGGATGGGACGTGTTGGTGTTTTTGTGCTTGGTGGGTGGGCGCACTCATTTGAAGTGAGCTTTTTCAAGAGGGGCGTATGAGAAAGTTCAGGGGAAAGGGAAACAAGAAAATGAGTGAGTTGTCAATTGCAGGAACCCTTTTTATGTTTTAAGGGTAATTTTCTAGTATACACTTTTCTTCCAAACCACTGAGCACTTCTTTCCTGAGTGCACCTGTGAAATAGTTACAGCCTGGATAACTGGTTTAAGAAAAAGAAAGGTGCAATAAACGAGCTGCATTTCCTAATCGATTTTCCCTTTTCTACAAGCTGGTATCTTTGGTATGTCAAGGGTTTTAGCTAATAAAAATTGTATCCATGTAGGTTTTCAAGATGAAGAGACAAAGGGAGTTTTTTCCCGTCTCAAAGCTAGAAAACGATATGTGTCAACAGACTACAAGCTGCACATCGCTACTGAGACTCCCTGTGCAGACCACTGCAGCATGTATGCACATAGCAGCAATGAAGCTGAGTACTGCGGGACATGTTCACACCAACAGAATATCAACTGTGACTGTTGCAGCGACTTAAGGAATGCTGTTTTAGATATTCAAGTCGCAGTGTCTGAGCTTCAATTAAGGTACTGCCTTTTAGACCTCCAGAACAAAATGTTAGAATTTTCACCAATCTAAACATTTGTCTTTATTTGTGACTGTTATCTCCCTTTTCTTAATCTTCTCAAGCAATGATGAAAAGCGGGAGGAACTTCAGCATGATCTTGGGGCAGCAATCCTAAAACTCGAGAGGTGAAAGTCACATGTCATAAGATCTGTGCATCAAGATGCAGCCAAGACTGCCGTGGTTGATGCCCTTACCCAAACTGAAGTATTGCTGATCATGGATGGGCTGGGCCATGAAGTTTTTACCAACAAGCTACCGAGAGACTCAGCATGATTGGTTTGGGAAAAAGGGACTACCTTGGCCGTAACCGTTGCCACTACCAAAGATAAAAACGAAGAAATTGAGGTACCATTTATATAATGTAACAATCGAGTTAAAAGTATACTTTATTTTCCTTAAAAGATATCTCGGAAAAAAGACCAGATGCTAAAAAATATTTATCTGTCTTTCCCAGGTAATATAACAGCCGATTAAAACAAACAAAACGTTTGTAAAAGAAGAGATTGTTTCGTATTGTGAAGGACCCATCTTCAGTTCCGGCCACAGCTGTAGGACGTAGTAATTACGATGTGGAATAGCAATTTCATTGCGAACCCTCAGTGTTCATCCACGTAATTTAATGCAATTTCTTTACAAAGATAACTGCTGCTATACAAGCCCCAGTGTTACTGCGAGTCTGAAGTTAATATTTTGTTTGTTTGACATCAATCGATTTTCTTTTACTCTTTAGACACGCACCTACGTCCATCTGTTTGATGAGTGCATTCAGAACTGGTTTGCAGTGGCCTCCATCATACAAAATATGTTAGAAACACTGAAAGCACTGAAGCCAAACCTCAACCAGGTACATCTTAGGTCCGACAACACCGGCTGTTACCACTGTGCCTACCTTCTTCTGTCGCTCCCCAGTAATGGTGATCGTACCGGAGTCACGATTGCACGATACAACTTCATTGAGCCACAAGCTGGTAAAGATATCTGCGCAAAGACCGACTGGTAGACAGAACAACAGATTGCTTGATACTTTAGCCGACTCTCCGCCCTCAACAAGGCTGGTCGATTACAGAGAACCCACTCTTCCTTAATGAATGAGGACGAAGAGGCTGATGCCTATTATCTTGTTGTAGAAGCTAACGCTGTCGGGACAAGGTAGCAGATAAGGAGGGACCTTGAACTTTCATTTTTTAAAAACTGGTAGGAGTGCAATTACCTTCCTACGTCGTGGCACGAAAGTTTTGCGGAAGTTTAGTTTTGCAAATTGGAAATTTTTTTGTGTGTGCTTTGAGGGAACTAATTTTTGCAATTAGGACAGGTTTTCTTGCTGAGAATAAACTTTTGCTATTTTTTTTTAAAGTCCCGCGCAAATCAAGATATCAAGATAATATTTTCTTTTTTATTGAATACATGCAATGGAAATACATTGGTCAACAATTCCACTGTGTATACCCCATTTAAAACCAGCAAGACAGATTACTTTTCTGTGGCATTTGATTACAAACATGTAGCGCAAAAATTTTATGCCACACGGTAACTAGAACAAACAATGATCTGGAATAAAGGCCGATAGTACCCAATCAGTGAATGTCGCGTTTATTCGAGGATTGTATTTCAGTTTCTTTTACAAGCCAGGGAAAATGACTGTGTGTTACGTTCCAGCAAGAAAAAAATACCTGCATGTTTTACATGAAGTTTTTCAAATGATTAAGCCTTGTTGTCAACCTTGATAAGTACAGTTTCAAAATAAATGCCGCCCTCGAATAAACACAGCATCGGGAACATGAAGTAAACACAGAATATTTAGTAAAAAAAAGGTCTTGACATTTTTCTGTCAGTTTTGGCCTCAGGGAGATGAAAACAAAAAGTGTAAATATCTATTTTCTGTTGCATTTTGTTTTGTTTATTTTTAATTATTGTCCCTTCCTGTCTGGACAACCGAAAATTGTTTAGAATTAATCAATGAAATTTTCGAGGTAGGCGTGGGAAATTCGCTGAACAAAACATTGCAGGCTCTTTTATTGTCACGTAATACTTGTGTGTATAAATGGTGATCGAGAGTGATAGAACTTCGAAAAACTTGTATTTAAAAAAATGCAGATAGGAGGAAACAAATAAGTCATGGAGATAAATAGGCCATTCTGAAAGCCTTCCTTGGAGGCAAAGAAGAGGATTTGAAACAAATATTGTCTGGTCACGCAGCATACATTAGTTCGGCGTAGATTGACGGCGACCCGATGGCGGTAAGCAAAAATAACAGCATACTTCCTTCTAATACTCTTCTTTTTCCGAGTTCGTAACCAGAAGTTAAATGAATTTTTTAAGAGCTTAATTTCTTTATCGCTAGAAGGAAGAATTTCTCATCATTATGTTGTTTTAAGATGGTCGAGTTGCCATTGCTTTATGACTGGTGTGTACTGGCGTGACTCAAAGTTTGTCAACAACCACACGCCATGTGGCCTTGAAATCTCCCCTAGGAAATTAAGAACAACCTGGTTTTCTCACAGTAAAGACAATAGACAATAAACACTTGAATAAGGGCCGAATCGCACTAGAGCCAGACATTTCGAATGTCCCGGGGCAAACTCCACAGGATTTGGCTTTAAGTTTGTCCGCTGACAATTTGTCTGTTGTCCACGCTCCATCGCACTAACGTTTTGTTTACGTTGGACAAATCCGAAATGTTTACATTTCGTCACACTTGTGACCTTTCCATTATCCAATACTTGGCGGGAAATCATATTTCATAACAACATGATCCCAAGACGTTTTCTGCTTTTTGTAGCTGCAGCATTTGTCCTACAATTTCAGATGTACGCTCAGCTGAGGATGATGCTGATAATTTTGTCTCTTGCTCAATTTCAACTAGAGGGGAGAGCTTTTCTGAGATTGTTCGAGATTCGAAGGCGAAGACGAAATCGGCGTGGACATCCGTACTTTTGGGTTCTCCCTCGACCCGCCGATTCATGGTTTGATATTCATTATAATGACCCAAGAATCCCAGACGAATATTTCAGGAAACAGCTTCGAATGAGAAGAGCTACTTTTCGTTTGCTTTTGGATGTCCTTCGCCCATACATCACAAGACAAAACACTCGTTTTAGAAGGTGTATTGAGCCAGAAAAGGTATTGGCAATTGGGCTCACGCGCTTAGCTCATGGAGGAACATACGTTTCGATTGGGCCTGGTTTTAACGTTGGGACAACGACAGTAATCGAGGCCGTCGAAGACGTCGTTACAGGACTGGTTTCTATAAAACATGATTATATCAAATTCCCTGAAACTGAAGCTCAAGTTGTTGAAACGAGGGAAACTTTCGAAGAGCTTTCTGATCTTCCAAATGTGGCTGGTGCAATTGATTGCACACATGTCACGATCAAAGCCCCTACTGACAGCAGAGTCGACTACTTCAGTCGATTCCAGCGCTACGATATAATCGTCCAAGCCGTGGCTGATGGCAAGAAAAGATTCCTAGATGTAGCAGCTGGCTTTCCAGGATCCCTGCACGATGCACGCGTGTTACGGAACAGTCGCCTTTACAGACGATGCGAGAACCAAGAATTATTGACTGGTCCTACTATGAATGTTCTCGGCCGAGAGATTGGTCCATATTTGGTGGCCGATAGCGCTTATTTTTTGGCTCCCTGGTTACAAAAAGTTTACCCTGAAGGAACGCAAGATCCCGACGAAATTGCATTTAATGAGGAACTTTCCTCGGCCAGAGTTTCCGTGGAGTGCGCCTTTGGAATTCTGAAAAGTCGTTGGCGTATTTTGACAAAGCAAATCGAAAGCGGGGTTAGTTCTGTGAGTGATACAGTTGTAGCATGTGCTGTTTTACACAATTTCTGCATTAATGCCGGCGATGAATGGGAATGGGATGATGGCGACGACGACGGAGGAAATGATAATGATGTAAATGTTTTGAGGGATGGCGACGATATCAGAGAACTACTAAAAGAGTACATTGCCATGTGATTTTATTTATCATTGATCTCTTAACAATAACATATTGTTTTGAGCTATTTTCGTTCTGTTCGTGTTTTCTTGATCATATAGACTTTGTAAAAAAACTGGAACGAAAACTTATAAACGCTAGAATATAGCATTGCTTTGAACTACTGTCTCTTTGCAGTTTCAGAGTAATTGTTTACAAAGCAGGATAAGTGAATAAGGATAAACGAAAACTGTTGCCTTTAATTTTTTTCTATAGCCTTGGTCAGAGCAGCGAGGAAACCAGTCATGGCCTGAGTTTGCTCTCGTTGCATTTCTTGCATTTGCTCTACAGCATTTGCCAATCTATCACCCTGGCGCTCCACTCTCTCGGTAAATCTAGCAAAATCCTCAGAATCGTCGTTCTCCAGGCTTCTCTTGCGCCCTTTTCCCTTTCCTTTTCCCTTCTTCCTCTCGCTCCTGCTTTTGACTTTGATTCCCATTGCTTGAAGGGCTTCCTCTGCCTGATCCGAGGTATATCCCTCCTCCTCGTCACCAGCAGGCGAGTCAGGCAATTTCTCCTTATTTTTCGCTGCTGCATTTGCAGTTTCCCGCACGTGCTTCAGAGTAACAACATCCCTGCCTCCGAGCACGCGGTCAAAGACATCAAAATGTTCGCAGGTTTCATTATTTCCTCCCGTCTGCGATCGATTCCAGTCCTTGGCCTCTTTGTACTTCTTTTTTAAGTGCTTAATTTTTCTCTCGCACTGACTTGGAAGGCGCGCTAGGTCGAATTGCTCGTTTATTTTAGTGGCGATTTCACCCCACACTTTCCTCGACTGTTGGCTCTCCAACCTTGATATATTCGCCTCCCACAGATCCACAAGGTATTTCACCTGGTTCTCTGTCCATCGGTCTTGCGTTGTCTTGCCCTGTCTCTTGTCCTGCTTCGTGTTTCCTTCAGTGGAAGTGCTGGCAATCTCGCATGTCGGAGTGCTAGTTCCACTAGCACTACTTCCCGACTGAGGACTGCTACTCCTCTGTCCTGGCGGAGAACTACTGGTAGTAGCATGGGGCATCGAGGTCGTGGAATTCCGATATGGATACGAATCATAAAAGTTTTGGAAGAAATAACCCGGAGGATAGCAAAATGGAAAGCTGTTTGGCGGGCTGTTTTGGTCCGACATCTTGCAAAGTGAAGAACGCGCGAAAACCAAAGATCACGTTGTACTCATCATTTTTGACGTCTTAATTAAAAAACAAACACCAGCTATTGTATTCTCGGTTGTTTGATCCATTTGTCCTGCCTCGGAGCAGGACATCGCAGCCTTTGAAGTTTGGCTGTCCTTCGGAATATTTGGCTAACTCGAAAATACGCGATCGCATTAGGACAAGTCAAGCGTTGACAGATTTTTGACATAAAATAAACAATTTTTGATTTGTCTGGCTCTAGTGCGATTCGGCCCTAACACGACTTATATATAGTTTAACTCGTAAGAACAATCATCTTTGATTTTGTGAGAACATCTAAACGAGCTCACAAAGATTACGATTTAGCCTTCGATATTTTGGTGACATGCATTACTAATCAGTGTGAAATCTTTAATTTTCTCGCCAAATCTTGATTATTTTAAGCATGTATTAAACTCTTCAATTACTAATCTTGTATAATGGGCTAGAAAGTGTCGGTTTATTAACTTAAGCAGCCATCAATCCTTGAATTACAAGAAAGATGAAGTGGAAATAAACCTATTCTAGGTGTAGTTTTCAATTGGCATCTGACGCCAAAAAAAGGCAGAGCCCAGAAATTTTTTTTATGTTTATTATAGACTATAGGGTTGTTAAGCACGGAATAACAAAATTATTATCATAGCTTTCTGGAAAGGAGAGATATTCGATCTCAAAATCAGCAAATAATTGAATGGCTAAAAAGGTGCTCCCATATTCAAGGCCGGTGATTGACAAGCTGTCAATCAAATTGACTGAAATTTATATTCTTGCATTTATTAAAGCTGTATCAACATATACACAAATCCTCGGAGTCAAAGATTAAAAACAGTTGTCCTGAGAGATTCCTACTTTTGCCTGTTATTAATGCCCTTTTATTGGTAAAAAATCTAATTAAACCAGTTGGGTGGGCTATCTCCCACCATAAAGATCCAAACTACAAACCAGTTTGTCATTTTGAGTTTTGGGGTAGGCCCTTTAAACTGGCCAAGTTTCTGCGAAATCGGAGAGATGGCATGTAGCACACCTGCCTGGTGCACCCATGGACTCACTCTTAACACAAAGCATGCAACTAAATTAAACTAAATCAGTTTTTTTATTTGTCAGAACTGTGTTACGCTCATTACAGTGAATGCACTGTAATTTTGTTTGTTTGCTTTTTTGTGTAATTTTTCAAGGGTTTATTGACTGTACTCCAGCGGTGGTGTTAATTGGGCAGGGGAGGAGCACATACCACTGGATAGGATATGGTTTTATTGCCCACTGTTCTAACCAGGGTGTTAAATTTTAAGAGAGTTAGCCTTAAAGCAGAATGTTTATTTGTTCTAAAGAAACAAATGAACCATGTATTTCGTCCTTTACCAAAATAAGGTGATAAGACAGGGACTCAATAGCCCTGCCTGACTGGGAATAAAACTATGCTCAAACCTGGGTCAAGCACCCTAATCCTGTCAAACTGTGCTCTAAATACAAAAATTCACAATTCTCAGTTGCTTAACATAAGTGATGCTCTCCAGCTTTCTCCACACACAAAGCTTGAGACTTGATGTGAATCTTAGTGAAAATATCCTTGAATAGGTGGAGGTAATTGGTCCAAAAAAACGCTGGTAGTATTTCCATATAGACAAGTGTAGGCATTACACAGTAAAGCTGAGACTATATACATCTTACCTACTGAGCTTAAAGTGACAGAACTGAGGGTGTCAAAGAAATCCACCTAAACTTGGGACAAACTCCCTTTGAAATGCACATTAGGAGTGCAGTGGTGCATCAAGTCTGATAGTTTTGATTTCAACATCGTTCTCCAAGACAAGCCATGTATGAGACTCATAAATTTTGTCCATCATGAGTTCCGTGTACGACCCCATAGGATTTGTTGCCTCCTCATGTTGCAATGAAAGGCAATTTTACAAGAACTATGCATTCTAAGCCTGGACTCTGATGAACCTCTTCCAGAAGAAGCAAAAATGAAATGGGAAAGATGGAGAGTGGAACTGATGAAACTACTAAGTATCAAATTTCTCGACGTCACAAGCCAAACCACTTCAGTCAAGTCATCAGAGCAGAATTGCATCATTTTAGCGATGCAAGTGTCTAAGGATACAGTCAGTGTAGCTACCTGCACCTTGAAGACGAAGTGCATAATGTGCACTGTGCATTTGTGATGAGAAAATCCCAGGTAACTCCTCTAAGAAGGGTTACCATTCTGTGAATTGAGCTTACCGCAGCTGTCTGTTCCATACGAATAAGCCAACAAATACATTGGGAATTAGAGTACAGAATCGATGAAGACTTCTACTGGACAGATAGCAAGGTTGTGCTTGGATATCTGAACAATGAGAGCAAACGATTTCACATGGATGTGGCCAGCAGGGTACAAGAGATACAAGATAGCACAGATAAGAAGCAATGGCACTACATAGAATCTCAGCTGAACCCAAGGATTAGGCATTGCATGAAATGAGAGCCAAGGAACTTCACCATTCAAGATGGGTTCTAGGACTGGAGTTCCTATGGAGCCAGAATTGTACTTGGCTGAATGGCAATGAACAAAACTACAATTCTAGAGATGACGATCCCGACGTTAAAAAATCAGTCACCATGACATCGTCGTCTGAAGAAAGCAAGTCCACTTGGTCAAACGGTTTTCTGGCTGGTACCGTGCGCAGCGGGTGGTAGCATTATGCATGAAGTATATGAAGAAATTGTAGGCTTGCGCCAAGAAAGAACCTCATGAGACAGTTCAAGTGAGAGCCCAAGATTTAGAGAGAACTGGAAAATTAATTATTCACGCCATGCAGTTTAAGGCATTTAAAGACCAGCTTAAGGAAACCACAAAGGGAAAAGAGGACTCCTCAATGCACAGGACCACAAAGCTGCATAATCCAATTCATAAATTACACCCCTACATCGATGAAGATGGTCATCTGCATGTTAGTGGTCATCTCAGGAATGCAGATCTCTCTCATCAGGAAGATGTCTGAAAGGAAGTCATGTGACTAAACTCATTATCGAGCACAGCCACGAGTGCACGAAGCATCAAGGCAAAGGAATGATGCTCAACAAGATTAGGTCTCGTGGTTATTGGCTTATTGGAGACACATCCGCTGTAAGCACTGTTATCACTTCCCGTGTGACATGTAGGAAGCTCTGAGGACAAGTTATCGAACAGAGGATGGCAATCCTAATGGAAGATCGACTGGAAAGTACCCCACTCTTCACATACTGTGCAGCTGACTGTTTTGGTCCGTTCATCATGAAGGAAAAACACAAAGAGATCAAGCACTATGGATTCATATTCATGTATGGCTTCAAGAGCAATTAATCCACAGATCACCAATTTGCTTACTGCTGATTCATTTCTGAACGTATTTAGATGATTCACCATCCAACGTCGACCAGCTCGTCAAGCACTAAGTGATCAAGGAACCACCTTTGTAGGAGCCCGATGACAGCTTATAGAAACGTTGAACGTTTGCAAACGTAGTCCATTCTCTGATTTCTTTTGTTAGTTCTTAGTATTGTTCGCAGCAGACGACCATTATTGTTTTGGGAAAGTTTCTTTACTTCTGCACACCCAAATTTATATTGATTTTACTCCTTTCATTCAGTATTTAGTCTAACATTCTATTTATTATTCCTGCATTTCAATTAGTGTATTTCTTTCGCCTTGTTATGTGTTTTGACAAGGTTTTTATTTCGGAACAGTTTCAAGAATGAAAATATGATTGGAATGTTAGTAAAATGTCATCTGTTAGTCATACTATTGTAATTTAGCTTTTTGTGATCTTTTGTTTCGCTGCATGATATTCCAGTTTACAGTTTGATTATTGTCAATAAATCATCAGCAAGGACTAGCTCCTAGTCTTGTGGTCACGGTTGATTGATAGTCGACCAGTAAAATATACCCGCTCACACAGAATTTCGCCGCCATAAAGTAGTTTCAGCAGTGTGACAATTGGCTTCTCCTACAGTTGTGGCATATCATCCATTACAAACTCAACTGGAACACCGCAAAATCAAGGTCCTCAAGCAACCAGTTATAAGACCTCGATACTTCAATTACTGACTGTCAATAGTGGAACTGATGAAGATAATGCAAATGTTAGTCATTCATGGAATCATAATGTCATTTTATTTCGAGGCATTTCCCGTTTCTTAGCAGTGTGCAGGCGGTGGTTCCCTGGCCAATCAGGAGATCGAATGTGTTTAGTGCTGTATAAAAGACTTGTTATATGTTTCGCACGGCCCTTCCAACTATTACCATCAGCCTGTACTAGTGACATCCCTTTGACGCTTAGTTGAAAATTTTCAGGCAAGTTTCTTTTTAATTTTAATCCTTCTTTCTTAAGAGCGTTATGGCTACACACACAGTTACCCCAACACCTTGTGTTTTCATCTTGGGTCACTCTTTTATTCGACGCCTGCAGAAGTTCATTGAACATCATATCGGCTACCTTGATTTATCACTACAAATTACGGCTCCCGCCGATATAACTCGGCATGGCATTGGTGGGCGTACAGTAGCAACAACGATCAAATTTGATCTGCACATAGTTATCGTGCAACTTGGTACTAATGACCTACCATTGCAGTCTCCTCTACAAGTTGGGTCAGAACTTGAGGACTTTGTTCGTTTGTTGCACGATTCTTACGGGGTAAATTTTGTGTGTGTATGCCAAACCATTTGTCGGCGCTCTGCTACTGCCTTTAACAAAAACGTAGATCTTTTAACATGTTACCTACGGGTTGTCTTGGAACCCATCCCTTACCCGATCTATTGGGGTCATAGGGGTTTCTGGAAGGCTTGTCACAATTTTTATGCTGCTGATGGCATTCATTTGAATAGTATGGGGCAATATAAGCTCTATCGTAGTTTTAGAGGGGCAGTACTTAAGTCTATGCGGCTCTTGTCTAGTGTTGACAGTCAGTAGCGTAGCGTTGATGTTATTCTTTACGTTTTTTGATCCTCGCGTCAGTTCCTTTGATATTGACTTAAACAATTGTGTTCATAATTGTGTCAGCCTTTGATTATTTGCTTTGTCGTTGCCTCTTGATTTTGAGCTCGACACTGACTGTACACCATGAGTCGCAGTTTAGCGGCCAGCATTTATTGTGTCAGTCTTTGATTTATGTGTTTTTAGTTGTTGCCTATTTATTTGAGTACGACACTGGCTGTACACTCTGATCCCATAGGTTCCTTTGGGAACCCTTTGTTTGCTACCCGGAAAGTTTGGGTTTATAATTTGCAGTCAGATACCATTTTTGAGTGTACAACATATCTCTGGCCGCCTGATCTTTGTCGTGGTGTGCCCAATGCACTCGGTATTCTGTACCTGCCGTTGATTTTTGTTTTATCTTAATTTGATTGTCAATTGTTGTTATTATTGATTTTTATTGTGCTCATTTGACTGGAACTTGGCCCGCGATGTTTGTCTTTATTTTAACTTCGACTTCTCCTCCCCTGTTTGTCATTCGAACATTGTTCTTGCGTACTCGTGGGTTCTGCCCCTCTAAACAATGTTAGACAGGAAATTTTTATCTTACATGGAGTTAATTAACCGTAACAGTCTTTGTTGATAAGTCATGCCTCCCAAGAAGCGCCAACAACCCAATTTGCCTAAGCAAAGACAGTCCAAGCGAATACGACTTTCCGACCTTGCAGAGATGGCTCCTGAGACAGAGCTTACAAGTTTAGCAGCTGCAAATTCCAACACAGCTAATTTGATGACGGTGGATGTGAACGCCTTAACTTCGTCTATTTCCCACGCTGTAACCGAGGCAGTTCAACGGGCCTTTGAGAGGATTCCCAAACGCAAGTTGACAAGTGCCAGGACAAGCCTACTGGCATAGAGGAAGTGGTTGATGAAGAAGTTTCTCTTCTGACGGAAAGTACACCTCCAAGTACGTCATCCAATCCGCTCCCGTTGCCAGGCAACAAGAAACCATTTGCTAGTATAGCCGTAGCTCTAGGTAGTAACGTAACTCCCAAACTTAAAAGGAAAATCTGGGCCAATGAGTACACAGATTTTGGGGCACTACTTTTCGTCTCCCCAGCTACCGAAAAGTATTATTTATCTTTCAAGTCCACTGATAGCTCCCCGAGACAACCCTAGTTGACCCTGGAGCCTCTTCAACACTCTAAGAAAATTCATAGCTTTAATCAATGGCTATCAGCTTTCAATACTTTTGTAGCCATATTTACAGAGAAATTTCCCCATGAAGCCCCGCAACTTATGAAATATTGCGAGATCATACGCGACATTTCAACCAAACCGGGTGACTGGTATTTTTATGACGAACAATTTCGTTATCTTAGGCAGTCAGCCCCTGACCAGTACCCCTGGGATTCTGTGCACTGGGAGCTATGGCTTAAGGCGGTAATAAATTTTCGTACAAAATCGCAATTTAGCTCGGACAACGTCAATTCTGGGGTTCCTACGCGATCACGGCCTCGCCAGTCCTTTCCCAAAGGGTCCTGCTAGACATTTCATGCAGGGAGATATTGCGCGGGTTGTCAATTTGACCATGTTTGTTTCAAATGTGGCGCAAAGCACCCCGCAAGCCAGTGCTCGGCCAGCCAACAACATTGCCTCCCTTTCTCCAAAGAAGGACCAGTTGCTACGAATTCTACACAGCAGTCCAGCCACTCCCGTAAGGGTGGACAGGCTTGATTTTCTTTTAACCGGATACCCTGATGACTTAAAACACTTTCTAATTTCGGGTTTTTCTTTCGGTTTTCATATCAGTTATGTGGGCGAATGGCAGACCTTTGAATCTTGCAATCTAAAAAGCGCACTTGAAAAACCACCCGTTGTTTGGTCAAAATTAAACAAGGAATGTGAGGCCGGTCGCATCGCGGGCCCCTTCACTGTCCCACCTTTTCCAATCTTTCATTGTTCACCTCTAGGCATAGTTCCCAAGAAGGATCCTTCCGAATTTCGGCTAATACATCACTTATCATACCCCCACGGTTCCTCTGTCAATGATTTTATTCCCAATGATTGTTCTTCGGTTAGTTATGCTTCTATAAATGATGCAATTGATGTCCTCAAACCGACAGGGGCCAAAACGGATGTCAAATCGGCGTTTCGCATAATACCCATCCATCCTAATGACTATCCATTGTTGGGTATGAAGTGGGAGAAATTGTATTATTTTGATCGTTGTCTTCCCATGGGCTGCTCTTCTTCATGTGCAATTTTTGAGGCTTTTAGTATGGCACTCGAGTGGCTGGCTTTGCATTGACTTGGCGCTTCAGGGGTTCTACATATTTTAGACGATTTTCTTTTTATTGCTGAAGCGAAGAGAAATGCCAGGCCAATTGAAATAGTTTTCTTAATTTTTGCGAGTATCTCGGGGTTCCTATAGCAGAAGAAAAAAACGTCGGCCCTCATACCGTTTTACAATTTGCGGGCATTACCCTTGATACGGTGAAGCAGGAAGTCACATTGCCCAATGAAAAGCTTAAAAAATGCTACAGGTTATTACATGATTTTTATAAGCATCGCAAAGTGACGCTTAAGGAATTGCAGTCCTTATTAGGTCTCTTGAATTTCACTTGTTCAGTTGTCGTGTCGGGCCACGCTTTTCTCCGCCGTATGATCGATCTTACCAAAGGGGCAAGACGACCACACCATCACATTCACCTTGCTAAGGAGGTCAAACACGACATTGCCGTCGGGCTAACATTTTTAGGGCAGTTTAATGGGAGAACCTTTTTCTTGCACGAGAAATGGGAAACTTTAGCCTCTCTCCAGTTGTACACAGATGCAGCCGGATCCAAGGGATACAGTGCTATCTTTGGTAAGCATTGGTTTTGCAGCGCGTGGCCAGATTCATGGAAATCCTTACATATCGCACTTTTAGAGCTGTTTCCGATCGTTATAGCGCTGCACATCTGGGGGCCTTGTATGGCCAACAGGTGTGTGGCATTCTACACTGATAACACTGCCATTGTTGATATCATCAACCGGCAGACGTCAAAACATCAATAATTAGTCATGATTTTAGCGCGCGGTTTGGTTTTAACTTCACTTAAATACAATATTTTATTTCGCGCACAGCATATTCTGGGTGTGCATAATTCTGGTGCCGACTACATTTCACGTTTTCAGGTAGAACAATTCAAGCAAATTTCGCTCGAAGTGGACGTCCTGCCAACGCCAGTTCCTGCGAACCTCCTGCCGCAGAGTTGGTCCCTACACTAAGGGTCTTGTTAAATTCCGCTCTGTCATCGGGTTGTCGTACGCTTTATCAGCGAGTATGGGCTGTTTTCAATGATTTTTATCAACAATTTTATCATTCTGTTCCTCCTGCTTTACCGCTAACTACACCTGTGTTAGCCCTTTTTGTTTCTTATCTTCATGCTCGGAAGCTAGCTCCGTCAACCATTAAATCTTATCCCTCGGCCATCGGATATGTGCACAAGTTGAAAGGTTTGCGAGATCCCACGAGGGCTTTTATTATTGACAAGTTGTTGACGGCCCTAAGTCGTCAAAGCTCAAGTGACATCCAGCTTCCAATCTCAAGGCCTTTTCTTCACACGCTCGTAGGTTCACTTAACCACAACAACTCTTCGGCCTTTCACCGTACTCTTTTTTCTACAATGTTTTTAATAGCATTTTACGGCTTTTTTAGGATCAACCAAGAACGCAAATTCTGGTGGTTCGGTAGTTCAATTCAGTGACATGCGCTTTCTCACGCACGATGGAAACATTCACATACTTAAAATAACTATCACAAACTTTTAACACAACACGGACAAACGCCCATTTGTTATCCTAATCAAGTGGGAAGATTCTATGCCGTTTTGCCCAGTGCAAGCGATGTTGGATTATTGCAAACTCAGGGGCACCCAAGCAGGCCCTCTTTTTTGTCATAGCGACACACGCCCAATAACAGTGGGTCAGTTCAATACCGAACTCCATCGTTGCTTCCCTTGCGAAATAACTTTTGGAATTCCTAGGAATTCCTAGGATTATCCTAGGAATTCCTAGGAAAAAAATCCTAGGAATTCCTAAGAATTCCTAGGAATTCCTAGGAATCATAGGTGTGAATTTTCACGGTAAATTCGGACTTGGAATTCCTAGGAATTCCTAGGAATTCCCAGTTTAAAAAGTTCTGGTTCTAAATTCCTAGAAATTCCCGGAAATTCCAAATGGAAATGAAACTGGACTTGGAATTCCTAGGAATTCCTAGGAATTCCAACCTACAAGATCTAAAGCACAAAAAATTCTTAGAAATTCCCAGAAATTCCTAGTAATTCCTAGGAATTCTTAGGAATTCCTAGGAATTCTAGGAGTTTACAGGTTTAACATCATGTCATCAATCAACATCCAATGCCAGGAAAGTAAAGTATACGCAAATTTAATGATTAATTACCAACTGGAGAAAGCATGGAAATTGCATTTAAACAAGTTTATGATAATAATGTTCAAAATCACATCTTATGGTACATGTTTTGTTTTTTACAAAATTGAATAAAACAAGTAAAGTCCTGAGATATAAATTGTTCTTGAGTCATTACTGAAAAATTGTGGGACACATTTGTAACTGGAATAATACAGCAAAAGAGTCTTGATTGAATTAACTTTACAGCGGGAACATATGTGTAAAAAAAGAAAAAGTCAGGCCAACTTGCTTCCAGCAAGCTTATCTGCTAAGCCCTTATTAAGTCGCCCGACTTTTAATTCAGCTCTCAAATTGAGAACAAAATAATGAACTGGAAACTAAAATACTTGTAGTACATGGCGTTTAAACATACTTGTCCATGACTACAGTAGAACCCAGGCGGTGACTCGAATTCTAAAGGGAAACGAAAAATAGTTCGATTTTAAGTGGGGAATTCGAGTTATCGGGGTAAATTTCAGTGAAATCTTGATCAAGAGAAAGCAAATTTAGTTCGACTTAGCGGGGAATTCGAGTTATCGGAGTTCGAGTTATCGAGGTTCTACTGTATTAAATCCGCCAGAATCTGATCGAGTATTAGCTTATTCACGTAGAATTTCATCAACCATTTGCAACAACGACTACAGTTATGTCTCCAGTAAACAAAAAGGAACCAATAAATGGTTTTCCATGCCATCTTGAAGTTTCGTGTTCATATATCGGAACGATCTATAATTTCACTTTGATCTCCAGCTTCATTATTTGAGTACGTGGTTACCATCAGAAGACACATTACGAAGCAGGAACGTACCTTTACCTTTCACAATCCAGCTGACTTATCGTTCTCGGACATGACTGGAAGCACGTTTCATGTGTCAACAACAAAATAAATGAACAATGCGCGTTTAAAATAACGTCCATTTCGGATGCAAAATACTTAAGCTCTTGCTAATGAAAGTCCGCGTGAATTTGAACTCACCAAACGGAACTTCATTTCACACTTTTCCATTGGTTCAAAAGGCGCACGTGATGACGCACTTCACTTAGTGGGGAGACTGGTAACCAGTATAGCTCAAACATGGCGGATGATTTTGCTCGATGATGATCAAGTTGAAAAAAGCGGTCGTTTTCAGAGCTAAATAAAATATTCCAACGCTTTTGAGGTATAAGAAGCGAGAGGAAAATTTCGTGTTGTTTTTTCAAGAAGCGATGACCTTTTATTAGGCAAAGCCGCGATGAAAAACGTGTTGTGGACATGTTTGGAAAGCTCAGGTACGAGAAGTGGCACTTTGAATAAGCTTTCAGTATCGTGCTTATTGTTGATAATTTTTTTTAAAGATTTAAGTCGCAATAAATGTTGTATATAGATGCTGGTTAATGTCAAGAAATCCTTGTTGTTATAGGCAATTAAAGGAATGATTATTAAAATTTTTTACGCTTTTTATTACCTTTGAACAGTTATCGTTTTTCCTAAAAATTAAGCCAGTGTTTCCAAGTTAACAATGACTTGGAATTATTGAGAATTCCTAGGAATTCCCACAAATTCTCATTGGTGTTTAAGCAATTCCCAATAATTCCCATAAGTTCCAAAGACAGTATCCTTCAAACTTGGAATTATTGGGAATTCCTAGGAATTCCCAAAAATTCCCACTAGTGTTTTAACCCATTCCCAAGTATTCCTAAATATTCCAAGGTTTTTTATCTTTGCTCATTTGCATGTCTTGGAATAAATTGGAATTCCTAGGAATTCCTAGGAATTCCTAGGAATTCCCAGAACTCTGGGAATTCATTTCGCAAGGGTTGTCTTTTTGCGGGCTTGACACAAGCAGGTACAAAGGTCATAGCTTTCGAATAGGAGCTGCCTGTCACGCAGCTGAGAAAGGATTCTCCAATGCCCAAATTCGGACGCTTGGCCGCTGGAAATCCGATGCTTTTAAGCTTTACATTAGGCCCGACACCTTACACGCTAATTGACTTGATTTGATTTGCTCCTCATATCTCTAGTCAAGTTAACAAAGAAGGTCAGATATTGGACTGCTTCTTCGTAGACTGATAATTTGTACTCATTGCTCGCCTAGTGGTGATAGCAATTTAT